TCATTTTGTGGATACCGACGATCAGGAAACGACCTGCACTGACTCCGAAGAATGCAGTTTTTTTAGCCTGTCGGACGAGCACAGCATTGAGGAACCCATTAAAGTTTCTCTTAAGGTAGAAAATATTGACCTGGAAATGGAATTGGATACGGGATCAGGAATTTCTGTGGTGTCTTCTTCAGTCCACAAGAAATTGTTTCCGTCAAAGGAAATTTTAAGTACCACACTTAAGTTAAAATTATATACGGGCGATTATTTAAAACCTCAAGGGTACATCTTGGTGAATGTGTGTTATCATGGGGTTGAAAAAGTGTTAAAATTGTACATCGTTGATAACGGTGGGCCTGCTTTGTTAGGGCGCACCTGGTGTCGGAAGTTAAAAATACCCAAGCATGAACTCTATCGAGACGAAGGGTGGAGTGTGTGAGCAGTTGCTTAAAGAGTTTCCCCAAGTGTTGCTAAAGGAATCGGAACATTAAAGGACATCAAAGCTAATTTGATTTTGAAAGAAACTGCGTCACCTGTGTTTTGTAAAAACCGACCGCTGCCGTTCGCGTTAAAAGAAAGTGTCGATTTAGAATTGGACAGATTAGTGAAGGAGGGCATTTTAAGTCCAGTAAATTACAGTGACTGGGCCACACCAATCGTTCCCGTTTTAAAAAAGGACGGCTCAATTCGTATTTGTGGGGATTTTAAGATTACCGTGAATCCGAACCTTAAAATTAATCAGTATCCACTGCCTCGAATTGAAGAACTTTTTTGTAAACTGAAAGGGGGGAAAAAGTTCAGTAAAATCGATTTATCAGAAGCCTATGCTCAAGTGTTACTCGACGAGGAGTCACAAAAGTGCTTTACGATTAACACTCACCAAGGACTGTTTAGGTACCATCGCCTTCCGTACGGTATCGCGTCAGCGCCAAGTTTATTTCAAAACATTATGGAAAACATTTTCAGAAATGAAGACGGTGTGTGCGTGTTTTTGGACGATTTGCTGATTACCGCGGCATCGGAAAAGGAACATTTACAGCGACTTCGTAAAGTGTTAAAAATGTTAAGTGAGTTAGGTCTAAGGGTTAAACTGAACAAATGTACTTTCTTTTCGGACTCCGTAAATTATTTGGGTCATGTAGTGGACAGAAGGGGTTTACATGTGTGTAATGATAAGGTAAAGGCAATTTTAGATGTTAAAAAGTCAACAAATGTAACCGAGTTAAAAAGCTTTTTAGGTATGGTTAATTACTATGCCAAATACGTAAAAAACTTGAGTACCATTGTAAGCCCTTTGTATCAAATGTTAAAGAAAAATCATCCGTATCACTGGACAACAGAGCATGATTTGGCATTTAATCATGTTAAACAAGAATTAAGTTCCGCCCAGGTATTGATGCATTTTAATCCCGATGTGCCAATTAGTTTAGCTTGCGATGCCAGTGCAACAGGAATCGGCGCCGTCTTATCGTAGGTAATTGCACAAGTGCATCAAAATTACCGATAATTTTTTTGAAAGCATGTTGTCTAAAAACTGCATGAGTTTATTTTCATATTTTGGCGAAAGAGCCCGACACCGAATCACCGTTCGATGAAGGAAACAGTGACAAATCCGCCCCAGTGTCCACAAGAAACGACTTGTGTGTTTGTGGGTCGTAAACGAACAGACGTTTCGATGAAAAGCAGGTGATGGTTGGGGGTGTAGTTTCCTGCACCCCCACTACTCGTTTTTTGTAACTTTTGGATAAGTGCAGTTTTCGCGGCCGTTTTTCGCCAGATCGCCGAATCTCCAATGATAAAAGCAATAGCCGTCATAATTATTTGACTCACCGTTTCGAGGACTCACTGGAGTCGCGTCACGGCTTCGTGTCCGAGACTCTCTACGTTTTTGATAGTATCCACTTCGGCCTTGATCGGTGTTACGACCACCACTTGTCACTAACCTTTCGATCATGTCAAACAGTTTATCAATTTTGTTGGCTTGTTGGTCTAAGCGTGTACTGAGGGAACGGTCTGCTGATCGTGAGCGGGAGCGTCCTAAGCGTGTACTGAGGGAACGGTCTGCTGATCGCGAGCGGGAGCGTCCAGGTTCTGATTTTCCTCCAATAGCACTGATGCGTGGCTTATGGTCTGCAGCTCCGTAATGTCGTGTGCCTTCCATAATTTTATCTGCTCCGTTAACTAGCTCGTTGATTGATTTTCCATCCTCGAAAGCCAACAAAGGAATTCGCAGCTGCTCGGGAAGGCGTTCAAGCCATAGTTTTTTTGCAAAATCTTCCGGGAAGCTAGGTGCTAATTGTTTCATACGACTCCAGAGCCAACTAGGCTTCTCGTCTCCTAGGGATAGACCCCTCAACACTTGTTCGTATTTTTCCAGTGGGCTATCAGTGAATTCTTTCAAAAGGGCGGCTTTCAATGATGGCCACTTCTTTTCATTCGGTGGGTTTTCAATGACGTGCGGAATTCGGATGATGACTTGCTCGTTGAGTGCCGAAAGCACGCTATAATATTTTTGCTCGTCATCTACAACACCGCATATACGAAATTCCGCTTCAACAGTTTAAAGCCATAATGCTGGGTTGGAGGTCCAGATTGGCTGAATTCGTGGTCGCTTACTTATCGATTCTATGTAACTAATTTGCGTTTCCTCTTTCGATGAATTTGGTGCCTGTTGTCGTGCGGAAAACGCCGTATTCGCCAGTTCTGTTAACGCTGACGAAGCTAGTGAGGTATTCGTCGTCATCTGAGGAATTAACTTTGGAAATGAGACAGAATTATCGACGTCCTGTCGTGTAGTGCCAACTGAATTTTCAATCTCTGCATCTTTTTCATGAACTAAATCTGTTTCGCAACTCTTGAATTGACGCAGACGATTTTGTAGATTGTCGATGGTTCTTTCTCTAATACGCAAAGCCAGTTCGAAGCGTGTTTCCAAATCCTGCATAGCTTGTTGCATTTGCTCCAATTGGACGTTGATATCGGCAGTCGGTGATGTCGATTGTTGAATCGTTTCAGTAATCACTGGCATAGTTGTCAGCATTGCCTCATTATCGTGTGTAACGTCGTTTTCGGGTATTGTGACGTCGGTGTTGTCGTATTCCACACTTCTAAGGGATTCCATCAAATTTGTTCGCACAATAGGAACGGAGGAGGGAGAGATTATGTTACCACTTCTCAATTCCATGTAACAAATCGTAAAATTTACAGTGATGTAGTAATGTTAATCAAACGTCGGGGTCACCAATGTGGGAATTCTTTATATTTAACACTCCCAACACTAAATAACGATTTAAAATTTCTAATCAACTTTTATTTTAATAACATTGACAACTCTCATTTTTCAACAATCTTTTATATCTTGTTATCTCGTCGTCCTAGAAACAAGGATCATCGGTAGCGGACTACCTGGTCGCCACAGATTCCAAAAGTTTAACAGTTTCTGATACGTTTCCCTTACAATCTTGCAGGGTGTTGCCTATACATAGGATGTCGTCAAGGTAAATGACTGACATATACCCTCTGTCCCGAAGGGCACTGACTACTGGTTTCATTATTTTTGTAAACAAGTATGGCGCAGTGTTTAGGCCAAATGAGACACAAGTAAATTGAAATAACTGGCCTTGAAACTGGAATCTTAAATATTTCCTGGAGTTTTTGGCTACTGCAATCAGAAAAAAGGCGTCCTTCAAATCAATTGAGGCCATGAGGCAAGTGCTCCTGAGCATTTTAATGGCAGTCCTGATGTCCTCCATTTTGAAATGAGGGGCCTCAATTTTCTGATTTAATGCCTTTAGATTTAAAATGAACCTTTTTGAGCCATTAGGTTTGGTAATCAAAAAATAACTGGATAAAAATTGGTCCTCAGAGGGCCTACATTTTTCCACAGCTCCAATTGACAACAATTTATCTAATTCTGACTTAATGTCAGCTAATTCTTTTCCAGATCTGGTAGGCTCTAAAGGAACAAAATGTTGTTGTACTGAGCCAGAAAAATGTAAGTTATAGCCTGAGATATAACTTAACACAGTTTTACTTATGGGAAGTTGTTCCCACTTTTTTATAAAGGTTTTTAGTCTGCCCGCCGTTATTACCTTTAATGACGTTTGTAATACGGTTGGTGTTGATTCCTCGGTTTGGTAGTTGAGTAATGGGTTTGGTACTGTCGAGCTTTCCCCAGCTTTGTTGGAGGTTTGTTTGAGAATTTTAGTTTTCTGTTGCTGCCCACCTGATGCGGCTGCCCTGGAGCCTGACGGGACACAGGCGGGCGTTTCCAGTTTAAATTCCTTCCGGTAGATTCTTTTCGAGGAATTTTTAGCTCCTGTCCTACCTTTTCGAGTGTTTTTGCTTCCCTAATCTTCTCGGCTAAATCTTTCCCATACAGGTGTGTGTCGATGTTAGTCTTCTCGATGTACTTCTTAATTGATGGTTTAATCCTGGTGTGATAAACTGCCTGCGAGCTTTTGACTGTGAGTGATGATGCAAGTCCGACAATAATTGACCCGCGTCACACAACTTTCCCAATAGCAGCATTCTGTCTACTCCCTCCTCGTTATCTTCGAGCAACAAAGTAATACTTTGGCCCAAAGCAGCCATAGCAGTACCAATAACTCGTTGGCTGTCTACAAAATGTTGGTCGCGCTTGTGTACAGTGTCGTTCAAAGTGAGGGAGATCTCCGGATTTAACAGGGGTGGTTCGAGATTACAATCTCCTTTTCTTGGGTACTGTAACAAAACGGATAATTTTGTTTCTTCCGGTAGTCCACCCGAGACCCAATTCTGCCAACGTTTCGAAAGATCTGGGTGTAGGTCACTTTCAGTCGGAGTAAGTAGGTTGTCGTGCCTGGGGGAAAATGGATGGTCTGGCGTGACACAGGTTTCTCGTCCTGTAAACCCAAATTGATGTTAACTACTTGTTAGCCGTAAAATTTGGCCTTAATATGGCTTAAGAATATGTCTAAGGGTACTGCACATTAAATCCCTGGCATGTGACTCACCTCAAGTGTGAGCTCAGCCGGAAAGTAACAGTATAATTACATTATTAACCCGGAATAAGTTAATGGTAAGTCTGGTTTTTGATTTACCTCATGTGTAAACTCCACCAGCTGCGAGTTCCAAATGGATGACTAACCCCTTGTGTTAGCTCCGCCAAAATCAACCCATTTAAAACTTATAACCCCTAACAGAAAAATGATTTTGTAGGCGCGTGTCTTACCTCGAGTGTAAGCTTGACAAAATGGCCTCCTAACCGTACCTGGTGGATCCTCCGTATTCGAAGACGAATCCGAATCGCATATAACATATTATCTATTTGGAAGTGTTATGAACCACATAAATTTAATTATTTATACTTTCAGGAGTCTTACAATTTTATGGTTTACATAGAAATCGTCCAGCGCTAGACCAGTTTGTAGATGGTCTAAAAACGTGCAATATTTTTGGACTGATGGCAGAGTACCCAGACTGTTTTCATCCAGTGATGTGTGAGACAAAACTGAAATTAACTGCCAAGTCACTCGAAGATTGCTTTGACATAGTTTACAATCCCAGTGGAAGTAATAAGCGCCAAACAGAAAACCGCATTTTGGCATTCTTTAGGGACTATTTACTGGACAGCGAAGGTAGAGCATTTTTATTGAGAATACCTTTCTTTTTTAACGCAAATAATCTAAAATTATGTAACATTGGGTACCTTTTAATTTTTTTAATTATAGGCGGTGAAAGTGAAGCCACTTTGGCAGATATTTTGATATTTATAACGGGAGCAGATACAATTCCTCCATTGGGCTTTCCATTGCAGCCGAAGATATTGTTTGGACATGAAACTAATTCACTATATCCAAAGGCTAACACTTGCGCACTGCAGTTAGAACTGCCTGTAGTTCATTCAGATTATGACAGTTTTAAGAAATCTATGGAGTTTGGGATTTTAAACTGCAATGATTTTGCTTTCGCATAATCTGTTCTTAGGCAATGTGTCTTTTTCAACAGCTGTTACGTGAATATATCAGTCTCTTATCTTAAAAATGTGCACATCTGGCCTGTAACGTAGTCTCCTCAATGTGTATTTCAAATTTTTTTAGTTTTCTATAAAAACTTAACGTTGAGGATAATACCTCTTCAAGTTATATTTTTTCATTTTTGTTTACTATTGTTGTGAAATACCTTTTTGTAAAAATCAGGTATCTCAAATTATATTATCAAACTGTTAAGTTTTTTTTTTCAAATTCTGCTAAAATATTTATACCCTCGCCTACTTCCTGTTTTTTTAGAGATGTGATAGCTTTCTTTATGCTATGGAAAACATGGCAATCCGCTATTGTTGCCCAGCAGCCCATCATATGTCTGGTTAAATCTAAGTGAAACTGGCACCTCTCCACATTGCAAATTTGGTGTAACTAACGTTGAAAATTATTACCCAATTTCAACTAAGTCCTTTAATGTTTAACCCTTAGACCAATAGACGCGCCCTAACTCATCAATCGCACAGTGCGACGTGAAACAAACATGTGTATGTGTCTGACGTCAGATTTGGGAAAACGTCAGTCAGCCGTCATCGCTACGTATATAGATTTAAATGTCAATCAATAGAAAAAAAATTCCAAAATTTGTGATATCAAAAAGTTTAGCGTTTCATTTTGAAATTAATGTTGCACTGACATGTTACAATGTATATTTTTTATGGCAATAATTCAATGGCCGATTGAGATGGTGACGATACGAGACAATAAATGAATGAATTTGATTTCAATTACAATCGGCCATGGAATTAATGCCATAAGAAAAGTGTTGGAACTTCAATTAAATTCAGATAGATGTGACCTCAACAGGCGTATGACATACGTGATAGACGTTTACTAATCATCGCACAAAATCTGTCGCTAGCTCTCTGTCTCTCTCGTTTAATCTATCTGAATTTTAAAGAATTTTTTCTGAGATTCAATGAAAACTGGACCACTTTGTATTCCAAAGCTTTTTTCCGACATATCAAAAAAACGGGATACATGGTAGCGTTTATATTGGTCATCCCTAGTTAAAAATGTATATAACCCAATACATGAATGATGTAGATATGCATAACAGTTAGAAATGCAATATAATTTTAGCAGGAAACATCAAGTTACATACACCATCATGAATGTCCTGTCTCCATTTTCTCAATCACAAGTGACTTGAATCGTTACTTACCAGTATGTAAAAATGATTTTAAAAGCAAATAAATCGATGGTGTGTATAAGAATGTCCAAAAAAACCTGAATGTTGCGAATACAATTTTTTAAATTTTAGACTGCTATGCCGTTGTAGTGATTGATAGGACTGCGAAGTATTTGGTTGACCACCACTGACAGAAATGTGACCCCACTTTCTACTGATAATTTTTCATTTTATTATCATGCGTGTAGTGAGTCCTTGCTCAATCTCTGTGTTATAAGCACAGTTGATTTCCTTGTGCCTGAATGTATAAAATACTGACAAAAAAAGGTTATACTTGGTTTTATATACGGTTTTTATCCTTTTAAAACGCCCTGTAAATTAAAATGTGTGGTTAGAAGTTTGCAGTAGTTCCAATGCATCTACGATCTTACACAGCGTTGTCAAGTTTTTAAAAGATGCAAAACTTACGCGCCTGCCCTCTAGTGGAGTTTATACATAGGTTAATTTCATATATATTTTGCACTAACCAAATTTACATATATATTAACGTTTTTAAAAGAACATATATATTTTCACAATCAAAAATCTATATTTCGTCCGAAAGTGTATATATATTGTGAAATTTGTTTATATTTTCAAAGCTTAATTTAGTCCTGAACGGCGCCTCATAAAATACCTCGGTGTGGAAATATTTCCTTGGGATGAGATATCGATCGAGCGCCTGCTCGAACACCTGGCAGAAACGCTCCGCCGAGTCAGACGGCTTTCGGTAAGTATTCCATCTTTTCTTTTGAAATTTACTAAAGAGGAGGAATTCATAGTAATGTCTTAAGTTACACTTCTACTTCTCTTTCACTTAAAGTCTACATAACGGATTTTCAGTAGTCATAGTAGTTTCAGAGTAAGCAGAGCATGCGCGGTAAGTTGAGATGTGTGACATTGTAACGTCAAACCATAGTAACTCATTTATACTTAATGACAAAACAAACAAATATTTGTAGGTCATTGATCAATGTCAATTATTAATTGTCAATACCTACTAAATCACAAGATTGGCCTTATTTCGTATAGTTTCTGGAACTTCTTGCTCATTCACGATGAATTGAATTATTTAAAATTACGTTTGACGTTTGGATGGTTTCAATCACATTAACAAATTCGAACCACGCATACTCGATCAAACATAATGAATTATTTTGTAAACGAATCTTGACGAAGAAAACTATTTGTAAAACATAAAATTGTGTATGTACCACGGGCATAAACTGATGTTTATACTCTCGGGCGACTAAAAAGCTCTCGGGCCATAGGCCCTCGAGAATATAAACATCACTATTATGCCCTTAATACATAAACAACTATTATATTCTCGTTTTTCACAGGGTTTGTGGCGACTTGTATGGAACTAGCCAAACAACTACCAGTAGAATAGTGGCCTAAGTATCTGCGAAACTGTCAAATGTTAATATTATTAGAAGATACATTACATTCCCGGATACTAGAGCCAGCATAGGAAGAAATACGATGGAATTCTATGAAATTGCGCGCTTTCCAGGGGTGACGGGGTGTATAGATGGCACACACATTCCCATACGCAGTCCAGGAGGAGACCGAGCTGAAGTCTTCCGCAACAGAAAGGGCTACTTTTCAATAAACTGCCAAGCAGTTAGTTGTAGGATCCAACTACCTAATTTTTGACATCCTAACAAGATGGCCAGGTTCTGCTCATGACAGCAGAATTTTCAATGAAAGTTCGATCAAACTATTTGAGACAGGCAATCTCAGTGGACTGCTACTCGGAGACAGTGCCCATGCACAATCACGGTTTATGTTCACTCCAGTTCCTGAACCAAATAATATAGCAGACCAAGCCTATAATGCAGCCCAAGTGAGAACGAGAAATGTTGTCGAAAGAACATTTGGGCAGTGGAACAACGCTTCCGTTGCTTACAAGTGAAAAGTAATCACGCCTTACAATCCACTACTAAAATAATAATAGCAACAGGTGTATTGCATAACATTGCAATAGAGACTCGGCAGCCTGTCATTCCTGACCATAATTATGCTCACCTAGAAGTGCCATAGCTTGAACCACTACCGGTAATGCAAGGAAATGCGATAAGAAGAGCATTTATACACCGCACAATCAACATTACAATTTTTGTTTCTCTTTTTCCAATTGAATTTCATCGCGTTGAAAAGGTAGGTAGGCGATGAAAACAATTGCTATAGATTTATTGCCCAATTCATTGAATAAATTCATACGTAGTTTATTTTTATCAGCAAGGAAAATATACAAATGCATAAAAATCCTAAGGCATGATAATTATAAGCCGTTCTATAATACAACACTCGTGTATTCTAGGCTTCTCTTCCACAACCCGGAGCTCTTAAGAAAACGGTAAGGCGCAAGAGAAATGAAATCAATGCAGCCCATCCTGCACCACTCAATTGGCAAACGCTACAATTTCCAGATGATTACAAAATTTATGCCTTTGATAATGGAATAGAATAAAATTATTTGTTATATGACAGTGGACCGGATGAAATGAGAATATTGATTTGGTCGTCGACAGAATTTACATATTTTACGTAGTAGAGATACCTTCTATGGCGATGCCACCTTCAAAACAGCTCCACATTTTTTTTCGCAAATTTATACGATACTTGGTCGACTTCATGGTGGAGAGCATCCCATCATATATGCGCTTTTGCCGAATAAACAGGGCACTACGTACTTGAGATTGTTTCAAGCATTAATGCAATTAGAGTTCAACTTTTCAACCTCGATCGTATTCCTGCGATTTTGAAGCAGCTGCCATTACTGCATTTCAAGGATGCTTTCCCGATGCAAATATATTCGGTTGCTATTACCACCTAACTCATAACGTAAAGAAAACAAATTTCGAATTAGGATATATTCAAAATTACAATAATGATGCTAATTTTTCCTTGCGAGCAAAAATGATACCCGCGTTGGCCTTCATTCCGATAAATGATCTGGAAAACGCGCTTGATGCTATTTCGGAAGATCTTCCCGATGATTTGCAACCCTTAGTAAATTGGTTTGAGGACACTTACATCGGTCGCAGAAATCGTAGAGGTCTTGACAGGCGTCCAGCACTCTTCAGACCACATACATGGAATCTGTATCAAAGAGTGTTAAACGGCGAAGATCGTACGAAAAATTACGCCGAAGCAACGCACCGTAGACTTACAATCGAATTGGGAATGGAGCATCCGAGCATTTGGAAATTCATTGTTGCATTAAGAAAAATTCAGACTGTAAGGAGGTCCGTGAAGTTGGCAATGCCCATTTCACCAAACTTAAAATTGTAGTAACCATATTTTTGTGCTAATTTTGTGCTATTTATTGCCGATAAACAAAAATTTTATGCTTTGGAATTTACAGAGTTATTCGAAAAAAGAGATGGGTACGGCCAACTTCACTAAGCGATACCCATGTAGTAATTTCGAAAAACTTATACCAATTTTGTGATAATTTTGTGCTATTTATTGCCGATAACCAAAAATTTTGTGCTTTGGAATTTACCGAGTTATTCGAAAAAAGAGATGGGTACGGCCAACCCATGTAGTAATTTCGAAAAACTTATACCAATTAATTTTGTGCTAATTTTGTGCTATTTATTGCCGATAAACAAAAATTTTGTGCTTTTCAATTTACCGAGTTATTCGAAAAAACAGATGGGTACGGCCAACTTTACTTAGCTTTACCCAAGTAATGATTTTGAAAAACCAATACTAATTAATTTTGTGCAATTTATTGGTGATAAATACAAATTTTGTGCTTTTGAATTTGCAGGGATATTCGAAAAAATAGATGGGTACGGCCAACTTCACTAAGCGATACCCAAGTAATAATTTTGA